CCAGCTGGGTAATCTCATAGCACAGGATTCATGGAATAAAAGAGTGACTTTATAGTTAATTCCCAGTGGTGATCACCAGTACTCAGCCATAAATTATTCACTTCTCTACTTTATTTAGTAGTTTACTCTCTCATAAAGTTTAATTGGTAAATTTATAATCTCGTAAGAGTGTTAATTTAACAGCATGTAAAGAGTAGAGGAGGCATGAACAGGGACTGTTTGTGAAGGCATATGTTCCTCGGGTGATTTGCTTTTGCTCTCCTAAGAGTTTGGCATGTTTATGAAAAGTTTTGTTGCTTTGATTTGGTTGTCCTTCTTCCTAGTGACCATCATATTATGCCTGGAGTTAATAACACCCGTGTTTTTAGTTTATTTCATTTTATTCTGCTACTATGGATAATATTTCAGGGCTTCTCATTCTGCACACTCATCAGATGAGACCAATGTGCACAGCTGACTCAAACAAAACAACACACCTCGAAGTATCTTCATGTCATTAGGTTAATGAGCCAAGCAAAAGACTTCTTATTTTGATAACACTAGTCAGGTTAATCTCATCACAGATCTCTTAATATTCTGAGCCAAACCTGTGGATGCTTCTGTCGTTTAATGGGCTTCAGATCAAGACCAAAATATTTGAGGCAGATAATTGATAATCTTCTACTATTGAACCTCTGTAGAATTAGGCTCTTGTGCTGTTTCAAAGGTACAAGTGACAAAATTTCAAGGAATAAATTCTTGTCTTATTTTGTGATGGTGACAGCTGTTCTTTTGGAGGTCTTATTGCTAGTCCTCACAACTCGGAAATGATCTGTATGTGTGCGACCTGGGTTTGGCTTCAGCTCTTCCTCTATATACTTTATTTTCAAAAATTCATGATAAGCAGGATTTTTAATATGAATGCATGATAATGCAATAATGAGCATAAGTGGTAGAATGTGTTATCATAATGGCTTCACTCTGAATTCCTAAAGTAGCAAAAATGTTACTGAAGCAGGTAAGGTAAAGTAAACCAGAGTTTAGGGTGAGCGGCATCACATTCAGAGCAAGGAAGTTTTATAAGCAGAGATAAATTCGTTGCAGTAGAGTGGGAACAGCTAGAAAACTGAAGTAGCAGGCTTGGGGAAAAAAATAAGGACAAAAGCTAAGGATGTGACAGCATCTGCAGCAGCTTCTGTTGTTGTCAGGCACGTGAGCTGCCCCTGGGCCAGTACACTGGAATCGGGACCAAATTCCAATGTTGTGTTCGTGTTCACGCAAGCTCATGAACTTCAGAGGATTGCGCATACGTGACAAGGCTAAGTGACTAAAGAAAAGCAGAGTTAGAGCTGGAAAGACATACATACGCAATTAATGGCTTATTTTTTCCTCTTGAGCTCATAAATAGATATGTATTTCATGAAATGGCTGTAATATGCTTAGTGCATATATTGCCTCTGTTTTTAACCTAATTTCTTAATGAAATTAAGTGAAATCATGTTCTCTGTCATCCTGCCTCCTAATGGGTTTTGAACTTGGTGGCAGATTTCAGCTACATTTAACAGCGTGGTATAAGCCTCAAAGCAGCTTAATCGTTGGGAGCTTCATGGATGTAGAAAGCTGGATAAAAGAAAAACGATATTACTCCTAAATGAGAGATGTGCTAATGCCCTCATAAGCATTGAGTCAAGATCCAGGAGAGTTAACAGCCAAGACGTGAATTAGAAGAATTTCTGTAACCTAACCTCAGAGGGGGCTGAGGAGAGTTGAATAAATAAGTGATGGAGCTCAGAAGGGTACAGAGCAATTAAAACCTTTACTGTGAGAGAAGATGAAGATTAATATTATGAGGAATGGTGTGTTAGGAAAGTAAAATGACCCCGCAAGGCGTAGCACTAAACGGCAATGGAAATGGAGCCCTTGGGTTAGCTCGGAGGCAAAGCCCGGCTCAGTCCCGCGGCGCGGCTGCGGCAGGTAGGTGCTACGTGAGGAGGTGCAAGGGAGAGCGCTGGTGCTGCGGGCGCTTCTCAGGGCCGCTGTGCAGGAAAAGACATGGGGCGTGCGTGGTGAAAGGCCAGGGTCGTGGAGCTGCAGGGTGTCTGGGAAAGGAGGGGAGGAAGAGACGTCACCAGCAAGACCTGTGTCCAGGGTATGGGTGTACTTCAAAGAAGAAGAAGGGAATAGTGCTAAGACTGGCTGGCTTAAGCTAAGGCAGATGTTTGCTTGATAGGCACTTAGCTGTTGTTAATATCCATCATATTAATGATCATTAATTAATCATTACTGTGATGCAGCAGCCTGGCTTCTCATCCCAGCAAATCAGCCTCCCAACTGCCCTCTGTCCCTTGGGCTGTCCCTGGGTTGCCTGTTTCTCTTACATGGGCAGGACTGTGGAAAAGCCAGTGATTTCTGGGATAAGATTAGCTTTTAATCATCCTGAAAACTAACTGCTGTTCAGTGAAGGATTGGCAAAAGGGGCACTGTGCAGAATGTGTAACCAACATGGAAGACAGAATAATTGGACAGCAGGATTTATCACATTTAGTTGATCCTTGTCGGTTGCAAGAGGAAAATTGAAGCAAAACAGCTGTTCTTTACAAAGCAGTTGGACAGACGCTGTCCCCTGAAGGTGCTGGAGAGGAACCAGCTGATGTTTTGGCTGCTGTCTTCAGTAATAGTCGTGAGGCTTGCGGCCCCCAGATCCTTGGGGGAGCAGTGAACACCAGTGCAGGCTTGTAGGCCACTCCATACAGAGCGAGGAAGCCCAAGAGGTAACGTGCCGCAGTGCCCCCGGCTTTCCCGGCGTTGGATGTGCCCTCTTGGGTCTGTAGGGAGCCAAGTCCTCCTTAGCTCGCGTGAGAGACGCTGGAGCGCTCCTGGCTTGTTCAAAGCAAAGACGTGGAGGCAGAGCCAAAGCATTTTGCTAGGTGGGAGCCTCTGAGGAGAATACCGGATGTTTCTTCCTCCTCATGACATTGCTGTGGGCTTTCAGCCTTGCCAGAAAGGGGATGAGTTGTGGGTTAGAGGGTTGTAATTGCTGATCTAACACTTAGGGTGGACACGGTCAGCAGCAGCAGAGCTGGTGCCGATGGCTCCGCAGAACACAGGTGGCGTTTCCGGAGATGCCTCTCCGGAGCTCCTTGCTCCTTCTGGTTTGTACCGCTCCTTAGAGAGAAGCGATGGAGAGGATGCCTCCGCTCTTGGAAGCAACAAATTTGATGCAGTGACTTGGAGAACGTCCCAGGGTGAAGGCAAACACTTGGGCGGCCACGTGGGAGCGGGAAGGCCGGCGGCTTGGCCGCCTCCCGGCTCTGAGTAGAGGAAGTCTTCGTGAGCAGAAGAAACTTTGTCCATCTTTCCTACAGAAAAACCTTGGGGCAATTTAGATTATTCACTGTAAGTTTAATTTGAGCGTATTCAGCTTTATTTTTGTGACAGGCACAATAGTTGCTATGTTAGAATACTCTTCCCTCTGTAACATGCATCTGCAGTAGTTAGATTATTAACGATAAAAATAGAGTCAAAATGTGCCAGAGAGAGTGAGACGTTCTGCGTCTTGAAAGGCAGCTCCCAATTGGTAGGAGATACAGTGGGAAAAAAAAAGCTCTTCCAAGTAAAATTGCTGTTGCGTTTTAATAATAGTGTAATAAGGTTAGCAGGTGGCAAGCAAAGAAGGTTTGGGTCCTCACAGCTTTTATTTTGCTCAGACGTTGGGAGCTTCTACATCCTGCAGAGAGGCTTGGCTTCCCTAAGGTGTTCCTTCCCATCTCCAGGTTGGTTGGTTGCTTGTGACACTTGGGAAAGCCGGGCGTTAATTTCTGCAGCAACCATGGACTGACAGTAGGGTCGTGCCTTCATTTCGTGCGAGATTTTGAGGCTGTGGTTTGACTGCAGTGTAAATCTAGTTTTATGGTTTCTATTACCAAATGTGTCAAAAAGATGAGTGCCAAATAAGGTAGTGCCTGGAATTAACTCAATCTAATGGCTCATTTAAAACACCTTTTTGGGGTTAACTTTGTACTGGCAGGGTTTGTATTGGATCAGATGCTGTCTGTTAAAGCTCACTTTATGCTGAATCAGTTACCGTCCATCCAGCAGCACCTCGTGTAAATAAGGAGCCTACTTTGAGTTAGGTGCTCTGGCTAATACAGTGGAAAAAAGATTGTGCCAAAATCTTTTCTAGATCAAAATTGTGCTGCTGTGGAGCCAGAGGTTTTTTATTATTAGGTTGTGTTATTTTCAGACTGGCTGAACTGTTTGTTCATGTAACTGTGGCCTGAGAAAGTGAGAACTTTGTTGTGGCCTTGGGTTTTGAACCTGGAAATAGCTCGTTTCCATTTCCATGCTCCAGTTTGCTGGAATGATGCTCTGCACCTACGACTGCTCTTTCGTTATGAAATTTGCTGCAGGATGGAGAGCCTGCGCTACACATGGACCACGGTGCAATTCTAGCACAAGTAAATGTATTAGAAAGTCCTTGTAGCCACAGCAGCTCTGCTCAGGGTTTGATCAGAGGTCTACCGTGCAGCAGGCTGAGGGCGTCACTATATTTGCAAAGCTCCAGAGGCTCCATGTGCCACATCTTGGGGTACAGAGGGATAGCTCGGGGTAGGACTAAGCAATAGGGGAAGCACTGGAGCCAGAGTGCAGTGCAGCTTGTTCAGTGCTTGGGGCTTGACTGGTTTGGTGCAAAAGCACAGGTCTGTGTTCCTCCCAGCGTTAAGTCCTGCTAGAAAAAAAGTTTGTTTGAAGAGAGGTGTGAAATTCATCTTCAGCAAACAATAATATTTTCAGTGGGCTGCCAATTGTAAATAATGATTCTTTCCTACTTTTGAAAGTGATTTGCACTATCAACAATTTATCATGTGAAGACCTGAATGAAGGAGCCCTGGAAAGCTGAGTGCTGCTGGTTTGAGTTTCTTTTGCAGAAGTTGCATGGACTATTTCAGTGCTCTCATCATGCCTCCTCAGAGTTTGTACATCCAGTCTCAAATAGCTTTTCTTTCTTTCTTTTTCAGGACAGTTATTCTGAGTGACGGCCCTTGCAAGCGCTTCTGAGTGGTTATCATGGGCTTCATTGCCTTTCTGAAGACCCAGTTCATAGTTCATCTCCTCATTGGGTTTGTTTTCGTTGTGAGTGGACTGATCATTAACTTCATTCAACTATGCACGCTAGTCCTCTGGCCCATAAACAAGCAGTTTTATCGCCGAGTAAACTGTCGCCTTGCCTATTCGCTGTGGAGCCGTGAGTATGCCTCAAGGAGACGTGCGGGAGCAAGGGGGCTGTTTTTAAATGCAAAAATAACTGTGTTTATATGTTCCTGTTTATATGTATGGCTTTGGACATGAGGCATCAATGCGGCCCTGTGGCCAAGGCAGCCGGCGGTACTTTGGGCCCCGCCAGGCAGAGCGTTGCCAGCAGGATCCTCTGCCCTGGGCTCCCCAGCGTGAGAGGGACAGGGAGCTACTGGAGCGAGCCCAGAGAAGACTAGGGGGCTGGAGCATCCTTCATATAAGGAGAGGATGAGAGAGCAGGGCTGTTCAGCCTGGAGAAGGTTTGGAGTGTCTTATCAGTGAGAACAAACATCTAACGGGAGGGTGTCAAGAGGGCAGGGCCAAACTCCTCTCAGTGGTGCCCAGTGATAGGGCAGCAGTCAAAGGGCACAAACTCAAACACAGGAAATTCCCCTTGAACAAGGAAAACAGGATGTGGTCCTGGGCAGCTTGCTCTAGCTGACCCAGCTGGAGCAGATCTTCAGAGGTCCCTTCCAGCCCCAGCTCCTTTGTGATTCTTTAATATGTATTTGAGTGTGAGTGTGTGTTTGTGTGTGTAGGCATAGATGTATTTACTGCCACACACACAAGAGTTAGAAGACTAATAAGCTAGTAGCAGACTTTTTTTTTTCAGAGAAGTCCAAAGCAGCCGTGACTTACTGAAATACAACAAAAACAATCTCATGTTACTGGTGACTTTGACTTTTAACTGTGATTTTGATTTTAAAAGAAATGCAAAATAAAGTTGCCCCCCCCCCCGCCCCACACCCACACACACTATACTTCAAATGGTAGGAAATTGCTGATTCTGTTTCAGACCATCTTGATCCTGTATTAAGTGCGTTAAGAGCCTGTGTTAAGTGATGTGAGGAGGAAGGAGGAGTTCAGAGACAGCTCCGTGTTCAGTGTGGGTGCTGTACTGACCCCTGGCTTGAGAGCCCACGTTGCCTGTCTCTAAGTGCCTAATGCAGAGGGCTTTATGGTCTGGCCGTGTGACAACTTCACAGCCCTTTTGTGCCTGTGGTGTCTGCGTGTGACGCCAGTCTCTGCTCTTGCGGGCAATTCTCCTCTGCCTGCGTGACAGGCCCCGTGAGTGGGTCTGGGCTGCTCGTCTCTTGCAGGTCTTCAAAGAACTTCCTCACTGTGGATGTTTTTTTTATTTTTCCTCCTTATATGGCATAAGAGGGTATTGGGTTTCTGAAAAGAGTGTTTAAAAGGCTCCTTAATCCAAATATCACCCTCTTTTTCAGTGGTGAATCATGTAATTTGTTTCTGTTCTCTGTCCTCCGCAGTGCACATGGCCACCCTTCTCGGTGGGAGCTGCTGAGTGCTCTGGGTAAATGAGTAGGCACGGTACGGCTGAGCCGTCCTCTAACAGGCACCCGTATTTTCAAATTATGGAGATGAAGCACCTCCAGCAAAAATCCTCCTAAATATCCAGTTCAGTTGCTTGTTAAGCTTGTCGTTCTCGTCCTTCCTGGGCTTTTTATTCCACCTACTTGGACTGTTGAAGAAGCACAGGAGAAAGGAAGCCGAATCGAGAACGGCAGGCAAGCTGTCAGGAGAAAATGTTCAGTAATGGAAGGATGTGTGTATAACTAAAACTAGCATGGTTTAAAGGGATGTGTTTTGCTTGTGAATAATCCTTAATGGCCTTCTAATAAACTACAACCTAGTGTACACTGAAAATTCTTGTTGCACAAGTAGCCTGGCTTTTCTGAAGATTTGTACTGCTTGTGCCTGTGAGGCTTGCAGGTTTAGACTCTTGATTTCTCCAAGTTAATACTGGGTGTACAGAGATCCCATTTCAAATACTATTGTCTGTCTGTTGTATACGCTGAAAAATCCTCTACACTGTTATTATAAAAGGTTCAGAAAAGTTGAGCAGGTGATTGGATTGCACTGAGAATAACCCCATGTGTGTAGCCTACTCTATAAATTAAATGAGTAATAAATTAAACTATGAAAATGAATGTGAATGTTACATGGGTCAGAACAGTGCTGATAGCCTGTAATGGAAGCACTGACAGACCATGCTGTCCAACTGTGATTTATAACAAAATAAGTAGGCCCTGGAAATGCAGTGGTTCAAGTGCAGCCATTCATAATACATATTCTATTACATGGAAGCCTTTTGGCAATGACTCTGTAGTTTGTTTTTCTATTCTAGAAAGTATATTTTGGTCACGAATTTAAAAATCTATATTTTTAGGCTGATAACTTTCATGCCAGAGCTCTGTTTATCATGGTTTTCTTTATCAAAAGCTGCTCTGCCAGCCTGGCAGAGGAGTGTGTGTGCTGGAATAGACACGCAGGTGTGCCTGTGTGCCCACATATCCTGTGGTCTAGAGAAAACAAGGCCTTTTGCTTACTATAGCTCATCTCAAATATGTGAAGTATTGCTTCCAAGCTGTTTATGAAGCAAACGGCTTTATTTTAGGGTAGTGTTAAGCCGATTAGCCCATCATAGCAGCTTGCAGAGCTCTTGCCGGGACCGTGCTGGGGTAAGTTGGTGCTGGAGGTTTCTGCCAGACTCTGCACTAAAAGTGAACACTTCACATGTTTAATTCATGAAGGAAGATCTATATTCCAGGCTTCCTCACGCTACCTCTGTTTCAGATGACTCATGCATTTGGGTAGCGCAGTTTTAGTATGTTTAGCTGAGTCTAGTTGCAAAGACGATCTCCCAGAATCTTGGTGCTTTAAAATGACTGTCTGTAGCTTGCAAAGAAGCTGGGAGATGAGCCGTGCCTTTCTTGCCTTGATTTTGTTCTCAAATGGCTTGTGAGGCTGTAGGACCATTTGCTTTGGAGTTTTTGTTGGGATAGGGAGCCCAGGAAGTGTTTTGGTTGTAGTGAGGTGGTGTTTGACCTCAGCGACGGTTTGCACGAGCTGACAAGTCTCACTCCTCCTTTGGGTAGGAGGGTAGCCCTGCTGGAGCAGTGACAGGATCAGTGCCACGCAAAATAGCTATAACCCCCCCCGCACACACACACAAAGGAAAAAAAATTAAAAAGGAAATGAACCTCCTCCTTGTTTTAATTGCATCATTTATCTGTACGCTTGTAAAAGGCGGTTTGTTTCCTCATATTAATTCTCAGGCTCATCAACCTGTCTGTTCCAGTATGAACTCTGGCAAATCTCTAGCCGAAGCTTCCTCTGCTATTTCAGAGGGACTGATGCAAGAAATGCTCATGCACCAAGTCATCAGCAGAATTTTTCTCTGATGTTGAGGAAGAAACACATGTGTAGCTGCATTTTCTTGTGGAAAATAGAATACAGGTGTAGGAGATACTGGAGATGTTAGTCCTCAGGGTGTAGAGAACAGTGGAAAGGGAGATGGCTCAGGGTGCCCCGCTGAGTGTCGCCTGTTCCCTGGAGCACCTGCAAGAGCGCAGCTCTCCCGTGGGGATGTTCTCCCTGCCCTTGCTCCTCCCTGAGTCAGGCTAGTTGAGGCAAGGCAGGTGAGCGGTTACGTCATTCCCAAAGGACACAGAGCTAAAAAGGCATCACAGTAACCTCTGGTTGGTGTAAGCTGTTGTTCTTTTGACTTCAGTTGACAAGGGTTGTATTCTCTTGAGCAACAACTTGCAGAACTTTCTCCTGCTTCCGAATCAGTGAGTCTTGAAAAACTCCTAGAGGATAATGGCCTGGTAGATGTGCAGGGAATGCAAATGAAATAACTAGTGTTGAAGAAGCTTTGTCTGCTCATAGTATTTTTTTTTTTCCCTGTCATTTTTCACTAATGCTAAGTTTACTTTCTCTCTGCTGTGGTGAAAAATGGGACCCATTTCTACATAGCAGTACAGACGGAGCTTACTGAGTTGGGATCCTGCTGGTCAGAAGCCCTGTGCAGGAAGAGCCAACTCCATTGTGCAAAACCAGGGCCTTCTCGTGCGCAGGCTGAGACGCACAGGGACGCAAAACTTGAAGAATGGAGAGGACTCCTTCCAGTCTGATCCTGCAAGTTTGTCACATGCAGGAAGAGTTAAAATTCAGTTGTGTCAAACTTTGGCAACCAAATTTTTATTGCTTCCATAACGCATTAAAATGAGACAATACCAATGGGCTGGAGCTTGCATGGAAGCAAATGTTCCTGCTGGGAGGATGAACTGCCCTTGGAGCCCTAAGAGCTGTTCTGTGACACCCGTAATGACTTCTACCTGCCTGATGGTACTGAAATTAGAGAAATAGGCTAATCAAAGCAATTACATTTGTTGCATGCACAACTTAGGTAGCGTTTTGTTTTTTTATTAAGAAAGCTGTGAAAAATCAGCATGGGTAATGAAGGAAATGTACAAGGGTACATTTGTGTACCCTTGACACTTGTGTGAGTGGGAGAGACTGGAATAGTGAAAAGGTGGCGAAGACTGAGGGCAAGCGACTCATCTCATTTCTTCTCTTGAAGGCAAAGGAAGGAGGGCAATTGCTGTTCCTGGCCTTGCCCAGTTATTTTGATAAATAGCCTGATCTTCTGATGCTTTTGACTCCATGTGGATGACTGTAATGTGGAGTGATTTAAGTCTTTTGTTCTAATGCCAAACTGTATCACAGAAGGTCTATGGTATCATATCCATTTAAAAGCCCTTTATTGGTCTGTTAGTTCCATAAAGCTTGCTCCGTGCTGAGTAAAAACATTAGGCTGGATCTCTGCATAATTTGTATTCCACCTGGGAGAAAGTGTACTCGTCCAGTGGAGCAATCAACAGCTCAACAGTCTGCTTTCAGGCAGTTTTTTGGTTGGTTGGTTGGTTTTTTTTGGTGCTCATGATATTTCATATCCAGAATATACTGCCTAAATTTGTTGCTGTTTAAAACTTGCTAAATTACCCAGGACATACCTATCTAGTGCCCTAATTACTGCATAAGGATAGTGGTGTTATTTGATCTATGGCTGTCGAAGCTTTCCTTCCATCTGCAGTGGTTTGGATTGACAAGGTGAAAGTGGTGTCGGGAGTCAGAAGAAGTTGGCATTGAATTGGGCTGGAGATGAAATGCTACACATGGCACAAGGGGTTCTGCAAGCATCCCATCTAACTCACGTCCCCGTCTCCGTCTCCATCCCGTTTGCCAGAGTTAGTCATGTTGCTGGAATGGTGGTCGGGCACAGAGTGCACCTTGTTCTCCGACCAAGCTACGGTGGATACCTTTGGGAAGGAGCACGTCATCATCATCTTGAACCACAACTTTGAAATCGACTTCCTGTGCGGCTGGACTATGACAGAGCGCTTTGGAGTGCTGGGGGTACGTGGGGCCGGGAGCGTTCCCTTCACCCGCAGAGCTGCGTGTCTCAAACCCATCCTTGACTCTGTGTTCAACCCATCCAGCGCCTTCCGTTTGTTTGCATTTGGGTTTCCATATGTAGCTCTATTAGGTCTCCAATATCTTAACCTTAATGTTTTCTGTCTGGTCTCACTGTATAAATCAGCAAATTACACTTTTGGGTTGTCATTCTTCTTTTTCTCCAAGAGTTCCAAAGTTCTTGCTAAAAGAGAACTATTATATGTGCCCCTAATCGGCTGGACGTGGTACTTCCTTGAGATCGTCTTCTGCAAAAGAAAATGGGAAGAAGACAGAGACACAGTAATTGAAGGATTAAAACGCTTGTCTGATTATCCTGAATATATGTGGGTAAGTGTCAGGGGTAATATGTGAGTAAGTGTCTTTCACCCAGAGCATCAGCAGTGCTAGAAGCGAAAGGGTGAAGGAGGTACCTACGTGGCACAGCAGCCTCGTGTCGGGGGAAGTTCAATTTCCATGTAGCCAGGGAAAACATGCCTTGTTCCAGGGTCATGTTGGTCAGGAATTGCTCTGTTGGTTTGTGGTTATTTGGAAGGCAACTCAGGCTTCCATAGATTATCAGAAGCTTGAAGATGATTTATAAACCAGGCTTGTAAAATGCTAGTTAGTTTAGACAAAATTATGTCTAAACTTCTTTTGCCTTTATTCTTTTGTTTAGAAAAAAAAATAGCCCATACTTAACTACTGTCTATATAACCCTAAGCTATTTTTTCTGAAGTAGACTAAAAGCGCACAAGCCATATGGGTATTTCTTGTTCTGCTTTGTTTTTTCTTGGAAAAGTGTGTGTGTATTTTGGGAGAAGGTTTGACCAAACCATAGGTTTTGATAGGAAGTTTTCGTGTTGGTACATACTTTGATCTATAAGATTACAGATTTCCCACCAAGTCTCTGTGCAAACAGATGGCGAGCTTACACTTGGTTTTAAAGCTTTGCTTTTCCTTTTTATTTTGTCATTATTTGAAATCAAGGGTGAAACATCTGTGGTTCATTATGTGCAGGGCCATTAGATTTTACTGCAGTAATGCAGTAGGATAATCATCCTGTGAACCTTCTTGTAGTTGTGCATGCAAATGTTTGATAAACTTACTGTTTTGCAGCACGTGCAATGTACTGCTTTTTAGCTGATAAAGCATTAAGTGGTTTTATTTGTTAATTTTAAATGAATTTCAGTGTTATCCTGTAGTTTGTCAAAGTAAACAATGAAATGGTAAGCTTTGACTAGTATATAGTGCATGTGCCACTTGTGATGTTTAAATTATTACAAAAATATAAATAATAATAACCTAGACAACATATTTTAGGCTACTTGCTTGAATTAACAGGTATGCACATAATTTAAAATACCCTCCTTATTAGTTAAAAGGTAAAAGCCAATACCAATAAAAAAATGCCAAGACTGTGTTTTTAGTTGTGAATCTGTACATTTTAAGGGTTTTACTATTGAAAACCAAGGACCAAGTATCTAGGGAAAACAGCTAAAAAAATACATAAATGCAAAACATAGTTAGCATGGATTATTTAAATTAAGGCTTCCTGCTTGGTAATTTAAATCATGATCGAAATTGACTTGAATAAACAGGTTTCCTAATTTTGCTGCACGCAAATGTCACCGTGGGCCCTGGGTGCGCAGCCTTCCCTCCACCCCCGGGACTCTCAGAGAGTTTTGTCTGCTCCCAGCGTTGCTTCCGATCTCTCCTGCAAGCAGAGCAGAGGTGCTGTGGAGGCTGGAGAAGGACAGACCCGTGTTTTGTGCTGTTTGAAGTCACAGTGGGGGGATTTCAGTGCTAGTAGTTACTCAAGGTGCAGCCAGACTGGTGACCTGCGAGATGAGGTTTAGGAAAGGCACCACTTCTGAACACAACCAATACAAGTGCTGGAAAAAAGTCTTTCAGGCAGGTCTCACTTCAGATGAGTAATTCTTGTCATATACAGAAAATTTCAAATGAAGGAGGTAGTGACTAGAGTTTTCTCCAGAGGCTTTGATTGCTGATATTTGGATTGCTTCTTCTGATTTGCACTCCAGTCTACCAGCAGCCAGAGCTCTTAGAAATTTTCATTTTTGCAACTGAACATGTCATGGATAACCATTTGGGCTTTTGTAGGCTTAAATTTGGGACCCGTGTTGTTAAATTTAAATATCATCTATTGTGGATGAGGTGTGAAGTGGTATTTGTGCCTGATACACAGTGAACAAATCAGGCAACAGAAGAGTGTCTTCTCTGCACGCTCGTGCCTACTTCTGTATTTTGCAGAACTTGTCAGGGTTCTACTTGGGTTGTTCCTGTGATCGCAGGTTATCTTTATTTTCTCCTTTTGTCTTACTCCAGTTTCTCCTGTACTGTGAAGGAACTCGTTTTACAGAGACAAAGCATCGTATCAGTATGGAGGTAGCTGAATCCAAGGGGCTGCCGAAGCTGAAATATCATCTGTTGCCCAGAACCAAAGGTTTCACCACTGCTGTCCAGTGTCTCAGGGGAACAGGTATTTTGGCAAGCTATTATTTGTTCCTAGCTATTATTGTGTTGCGTAGCACGGTCTTGTATGCTCTGCTTTTCATTACATCCGTTATGATTAGTGAAAACATTCAGTGTATTAACCTTAATCTGTGCCACATAGCTTGGAGATCAGCTTTCAAAAATAATAAACTACTCATTTATGCCACTGTTGCCTAGTTCATCAGGTCTTGTCATTGGTAACAGACCGGCTGCATAGATGGGCATGTCGGGTGGCTGATGCAGGTAAAATATGTGAACACAAAATGGTGTTTGAAAGACTCTGCTACCTGACCTCATTAGTGCAGGGCTTTCATGAGACCTGGTTGCTGTCTAATGCAGAGATGCCGGCCACATGGTTGCTAGAGATGCTGACGTAACAGCCATATTTTCTTTCTTTTTTTTTTTTTTCTTTTTTTTTTTGGGCAACAGTTTCAGCAGTGTATGATGTAACGCTAAATTTCAGAGGAAACAAGAACCCGTCTTTATTAGGAATTCTTTATGGAAAGAAATATGAAGCAGATATGTGTGTAAGGTAAGCATATCATGATGGAGGTGAGCCCTAAGATGCCTGTTCTGGCAAGTTGAAGTGTATTCAAAGTCTAGAGGGAAGTGTCCTCTGCCATAGTCCCCTTTCCATGTCTTTCAAGTTTCTCTGCAAATCACAAAGACCCTTCTGTTTTTTCCCTTTGCTTGTTTTATTTTATTTCTGTGCTTGAAAGCCAGTGACATCACCCAGCAAGACAGAGAGCACTGGGTAGATAGATTTCTGAGTGATGTCCACACAGTCTTTCCAGGGTCTCTGCAAATTTTGTGAAGCCAGGACACTTGTCTGCTCTTCCCTGTCTCTGCTGGGAACAGAAGACCAAGTGTTCTGTCCCCTTCCCAGTCCTTTGTGAGTATGTACGTGGTACAAATGGCCTGTCCAACAAGAGCAGTCTGTTGTAATAAGGGGTGTAAAGCTCCTTACTGTGCCAGTTTCTCTCTTTTCTCACATGGTTCGATTAGCAGCTTAGGAGTTAAATACTACTGAAATTCAAACACCATGTGAATGCTGTGCTTCATTCCTCACAGTTGGGCTTTTGCCTAAAAGAATGACTCCTGACACCTCTCTCCACACCACATATACACATGCTCACATGCCTCGACTTTCTCTTGATTTCTGCTTGTTTGCTCCAGCTCTGCCCCTGTCCTTGTGACCATAACAGCTTTGACCTTTCCTAAAAAGCTGAATTTCATCTTTTGCCTTTGGTGCTTGGGCTTGATGAATGGTCCTGTTGTTCTTTTGGTAGCTCTTCTGACAGCTCATCATTTGTGCTTTTTTGAGGGCTTAACCCACACTTTGGCAAACAATGAGGTTGATGGTGTTTAAAAAAAAAAATAAAAAAAAAAAGGCAAGAAAAGTACAAACTGCCGCCTGCCCCGCTCGCCCGCCGTGACCTTGGGCCCGTGTTCTGCAGTGCCTCTCGCTGTCCTGGGCTGCATCACAGCAGAGCCTCGTGGGCCAGAGGCTGTGGGGAAACCCACTGATCCTCTGCACTGCCTTGGGGCAGAAGGGACAGTTCTGAGGGCAGAGTCTAGCCCGGGGGAGACCGAGTGCTGCAGCCTTGGGAAGGACGTGTGTGCCAGGGCTGCTCTCCAGTGCTGCACAGCTTCCATGAGATTTTGGTCTTTCTGATGGAAAAACACCGAGTGGCTGTATCCACTTAACTGTCCTCCAGCTTGCTGGCTGGGACGCCAGTTGGTCTTATGTATTGAAGAGGTGGTGGGAAGAAAGAGGAGCAATGTAGTCTTCAATAGTCCTGGGTTGATAAAATTCTGCTGAATAGCAATGATATAGCCAGGTGAAAGTACTAATTGTGCTCTATTAAAGAAAATGATGACTCTGTTGCTCAGATAATTCTCACTTTAGATTGTGATTGTGGCCTGAATCAACCCTTTCAAGATAAAAAAACCTTTAAGCATAAAAAATAATCTCCTTTGAGGAGGATGCTATGACATTGAGGAAATTATTTTCACAGCCTTTTTGTTGAAAATTGATTGTTTCCTTAATGTGCTGAGAATCTTGGCTTAGATCGGAGAATGGAAGTGTGTAATCCCATGTTTTTAGCTAAAAGGAATATGCAGTTACCCGCACAGAGGTCGGGCAGAAGCTTAGCCTGTCTGTAGATGATCTAGTCTTCCTTCTGACTGGCTCCACCAGAACAGAAATGATTATCTAAATTACCGGATGCTCTTGCTGTGAGTACCCTCTTGTGGTGATCTCAGTAGAGTGACTTTAGCAGAGCTTTCAGCAGATGACTGCTTGTCAAGCTTTTATTGAGTATTAATTGAGTGGCTCCTCCCGTTAGAGCTATTAAAAGGAAATCTGCAAGGAAAAAGTAGTGTTTGGCTGGTTTATGGGCATGCAGAAATGTATTGGAAGCTCTGCACCATTGAACTGGGCCTAATCCTTGGCCAACCATCTATGACTCTTTTTTTTTTTCCCCCTGCCTTCCCCCCCAGTAGTGTCTTTCTGTTTGGCTCAGTGACTCGCCAGCTGGGCTACTCCCTGTCCTCTCTGAGGTTGCCACTTGACTGTGAACAGTTGAACCTTGCTGGCTTTGGCTTCTCAAGCTGAGCCCTCCAAGGAAGGTGGCCCGCAGCGCTCCGCCGTGCGCTGCGCTGACATGAGCCTGGCTGTTCCCTGTTCCTGTGCTTGTGGGTGCTGGGCGCAGCAAAACGCCTTCCCCTGCTCGCGCAGACTCGCGGGGGTCGGTTTGTTCAGCCAGAACCTACTCCCAAGTGAACGGTAGCAATAAGTTTTATCTGGGGTTGCTGTGCCTGACCTCCTCCCAGAGATCATGGGCTTGCGCTCACCACTGTGCTGTACGAGAGGACCAGGAATTTAAAAACAAACAAACAAACAAACAAAAAAAACCTTCCAATCCCCCTAAAGTGTTCTTTTTTTTTTTTTCCCTCTCCACTAATAAATTATATTTAAGTTTATCCTGGCTTTTGTCACTTGTAGTTTTGTTTGTTTTTTATTTGTTTTGTTTTTTTTTTTTCCCGGCTCTGGGTATATGAGTGAGCGTTCATTGGGATTCAGCTGGTGATGGCTCCACTGAGGGAACAACAGAGTTTTAATGGGAATACTTGTTTTCCTCATGTGCTCTGAGACTGGTGGGAGACTGTGCAGTTTCTTTTGGGGTTGGAATTTGAGTTTTTAGGTGGAGAATCAGGGTTTGGTTAACTCTCAGGTCTTCTCCACACTTAAGAACTCCAAAGCTTGTGCCTGGTGTTGAGTAGAAGGTCTTCCCCAGAAGAGGTTGTAAGTCAAATACCTGGATTTTTCTTTAATTCTGTTTTCTGCCTCTCTCTAATAAACCAGGAGATTTCCTCTGGAAGATATCCCTCAAGATGAAAAGGAAGCTGCAAACTGGCTTCATAAGCTTTACCAAGAAAAGGTAAAAGGCTTTGCTTTCTTGGCTTCCAGGGACAGTGTGCCCAAGAACTGGGTGATGCACACTCTTCTATTGGAGCGATTGAGGAGATGGGAATGTTTTGTAAAAATTGGCAGTCATTCCTCAAATTGCTGGGCGGAATGGTTCAAGCCAGCTCCGGGGAAGCCCTGTCCTTGTGTCCTTGGCCACATGGGGGTGGCTAGTAAGTAGGTCTCAAATTGCAAAGGAACAGTATGGGATTCAGAGGGAAACACAGGCCATGGAAGACTAGTATCCCTCTATCTTTTTGTGTTCTTCAACTCTCTGGTGTCTGTCATGCATTTCTAAAAGCTCCACTTCCCCTACAGATGATTTTAGCCACTTGAGAAGAATGATAACAGTATGTGAAGGGCAGCTACTCTCGACTGTGAGCCACAGTTGTCCTCCTTCCTTTCTGCTTTCATTTTCCTGCTCTTGCTTTCCTTCTGCCTCCTTGCAATGTCTCTGCAGTTGTGTGACACGGTCCCCAAGATCTGCTGCCAGAGACCAGCGTAGCCCATGGTCAGAGTATCTTTAAAGTGCTCAGAGCTTTTTCTCATTTTTTTTTCCCTTAGATGGTTAATTTATTGATGACAGTTTTAAGCTCTGCACAGAGAGGAAGGAAAACTGGACTTCAGGTTGCCCAGCCCTAATGCAGGCTTGACTGGGGAACTTTAAATGTGTATCTTGATGAAGGTGGTGGTGTTGTTGGTTGTATCTCCATTCAGCTCTGGTGTCAGATGGTTCTAGGGGAAGAGATTGTTATGTAGGGGGGTATTTTATGTGTTGATCTCATGGTGCTAGTGATCCATTATAACTGAAATCTTCAAAATAAAGGAACATCATCAAAAGGATGTGTCTTGGACATGCAGTGCCTTGAGCTTTTTAGCCCCTCATAAGGGAAGCTAGAAGAAAAATAACTTAAGTAGGGGGGAAAACATGAAACATAGCCTTGCTGAGCCATCCTTTACAAATTTCAGAAGCTTCCCAGGGCAAACTAGTTGCCAGTATCTTTGCTTCATGTTAAAATGCTGTTTGGGCTGTTTGTTTTGGGCTTTACCTTCCTCTTTTGGCTGTACATGCAGCAATTTTCTGCTGTGCTTTACTGAATTGTGCTGATCTTTCCAAAATGAAAACAGGAAGAAAAAGCATCCAGCCATGGGGCAGGCAGTGTCTGAATTGGTGTCTGGCCGGAAACTGCCCCCACTTCCTAAGAAATTAATAGAAAAGGTGGAGGCACTAGGTAGTGGAGAGACTGGTGGTGTTTCAGCTTCTGACTGTGGCCAAGTTTCCCTTTAAAGGGCTTAATAGGGTGGCCTTGGCAGGAGGTGGAAATGCCCAAGGAAGTGACAGCAGATGGCAGTGGCTGCCGAGTGCTCTCTCAGACAGAGACCTTCTGCTGTCCTGGGGCTCACTGCTCTTGGATTGTTTTGTGCAACACGATGAGCATGTTCTTGTCCATCCTCTCTTTCACGTAGGATGCTTTGCAAGAGATGTATAATCAAGAAGGCGTTTTCCCTGGCCAGCAGTTTAAACCTCCTAGAAGACCGTGGACTCTCCTAAACTTTCTCTTCTGGGCCACAGTTCTCCTGTCTCCTCTCTTCACATTCGGCTTTGGAGTTTTTGCAAGTGGATCACCTCTTCTTATCCTTGCGTTCCTGGGATTTGTTGGAGCAGGTAAGAAAAGCTGAGGGGAAGATGCTAAGCCCAGAGGGACAAGGTGGGATGCATTATCTTTGATAAGTTGAGGGGGTCAATTAATGTGAACGGAATTTGCAGAAAAATATTTGGATAAAAATTGAGGGTCTGGTCCCTAGACTTGTTGTCTTATGTAGCATTCTGAGTGTTTGGAAAGCTTTAATTGAGACAGATTCACCTTTATATCTTGGCTATATCTTTTGGAATGAATAGGGATGAATACTCTTGCAGCCCTATATCATCATACAAGAAGGAGAACACGCTCTTACTGCACATTCTGTCAGTGATTTAAAAAAAAGAAACAGGTCGGAGGGAAAGCAAAAAAAAAAAAAAAAAAGGGGTTTCCAGGCTTTCCAGCACCGTTAATCAGAGAATTAATGATATTTTTAAATCTAGATTGTCATCCTCTTTTGGTAACATCTGACCTGTGTGTAATCAGTGGGTGATCTGCAGACACTGCTGCTTTCAGATTTTGGATAAGTTGTATATGTTCTGCTTGTGTGGTTGTGTGCAACTTCCTGAATCTTGTAATGGCTTTAATGTGCCTCCCATTTTTCTGTTGTATTTTAAGCTTCCTTTGGAGTTCGTAGACTGATAGGAGTAACTGAAATAGAAAAAGGCTCCAGCTATGGCAACCAAGAATTCAAGAAAAAGGAGTAACTGACAGCTGCAGTTCAGCACATGTAACCAGACTGTGGTATCCAATTAACTTCAGTTACAAAACAACAACAACAACAAAAACACTTAGAAACTATCTTTTTCTTAATAACTGATGACTAATATTAATGAATAAAACTTGAGCCAAGAATGAAGAAGTTGGAGGCATCAACTGAAGTGAAAGCATCAACTTTCTGCCTGTTTAAGGATTACTGTAGTCAAGCTATGGCAAAAAATATGGAGGAAAAAAGAAACTAATTTTTCTTGCTTTGGGGTCGTAGGGGTGGGAGGGGTAGAAGCGGGTACTGGACATGGCCATGTGCATCTTCAGATGACTGAACACACTGGTTTCTCTCAAGAGCTCTACGCCTGCTTTTACAACAGGAGCCACTGAATGTTTCCTCTTGCTAAAGCCAACATAATGTTTGTTGATTTCCGACTTTTTTTATCAATGCTCCAGAGGAAAAAAAAATCCCTTAAATTAATTGACAGGTATTGTCTGTTAGTGTCATTTTGGAAGGGCTGCATTGTCGTCGCTACAGGTGAACTCCTATTTGTATGTTACGCTGACACTTCCTCACTTTCAGGCAACATCTCACAACTCCTGTAATGAGAGAGACTAGAGCAGCTAGTGGAGTTTGGATGGGAGCAGCACCTCACTGACGGCATTTTCTGCGGAGCAGATTCACTAGTATTAAAATGGTATAAAATTCTCATCATATCTCCTGCCAGCTGCTCGAGGCTCAGGTTCAGCTCAACATACCACTTTGGTCTTGAGTGTTGTTTGCCCTGCTTTGTGTCATACATGTATGTAACTGAATCTGGTTGGACTTGTTTTCTGAATTAATGGTGACCGTGGGATTTGGAGTTGTGCAAAGAAGGAAATTTATTCAATTGTCCTGATGTTTCCTCCTTTTGTTTCTGCTCATGTCTGTCCTCACCAAAGTCCCATTCAAGGAATCTCCCTCAGTAAACTGGGAGGCAGCAGCAGACACTTGCACAGTAGTTGTCAAAAAGCCGTCTTCTACTCGACGTACCTCTAAAAGGAGAGATTGGTAGCAATCAGAGTTCAAATGCTGGCAGCTTTCAAGGAGAGTTTTGACATTGATTCAGGTGGGGACAGGATCTTACCCTGTGTGCTCTACCAATAGGCTGTGCTGCACTTTTTATCTGGTTGTGCTTTAGTTGTTAATGTGAAGTACATTGCAAGGTGAGCCATACTATTAAGCACTAGAGTAAGTTTGGGATCTCTTCAGGGATTTTAAATAACTTTAGTTTTGCTTGTTTATTTTCAGATTTTGTTTTTTCACTGAAGATTAGAGGTCAGAATTGTGATGTACCTTTGTACATTTTTTTTTCTCTCCAAACGCACATTTTGAGATGTTGTAGATTGCTGCTGTATACGTAGCTGGGGAATTATTTGCAGACAGATGGAGACTACCGATACATCTGAAGGCCAAATTCTGCATTTAGCCACATGCAAAAGCTGGTGAAAGGGGTTGCAGATCTACAGCTGAGTGCAGAAGCTGACCCGCAAGGTCTGTCGTTTTAACCCAGCTGCCACTAGACTATTTATCTCACTTTTGTAAAGAACAGATCTTATCAAAGCACTGACCATTATTTTCATCTTTGCTCTAGTAACCAAGATAGGAGAGTAATAATTTACCTTTTCATATTTACTCTTAACTCTTGGAATGTAACCTCTTCTCCCACAGGTTGCTCTTTGTTTTTAAACATTGGAAGAGTAATTTTGTAACTTAGAAAAATATTTTACTTTGGGTCATTAATCACTGTTCTGTCATGCACTTGGTTTTTCTTTGGTGTCTTTTCAACAAGGAGATTTGAAGGATTTGTTCTGTGTTGTGTGTCTTCTGTTAGACCCATCCCAGCATTTGAGCAGCAGCCTCGGTGTTAGCATATCGTGCTTTTCACCCCCAAAACTCTGCCCTCAGGCCGAGGGTACGAAACTCTTAAATGTCGCTGGAATTTGGCATATTCCTTGGAAATTGAGAACAGAGCCTGGCCATGAATTTGTTTTCCTTACCGGATGTTTTTGCACTCTCCTGAAACATACAGTTATATTTCCAAATGCTGATACGGAGAACTCTCCAATATTCTTTTTTGTTTTGATCAGAGGACCAAAACCAGTGAGGTTTTTTTTTTTTTTCCCTCTTTTATTACATAATTCATTAGTGGGTTTAATTCCTGCATGGTAGAAAGATGTTACAAATGTTGTATTCTTGCTTTCTGAAGGTGATAATGAATATATGGAATTGGTACTGGTTTAGCAAAACAAAGCTTGCAAAGCAAGCTGACTGCAGGCTATGTTTTTACACTTACCTTTTCTGCAGCATATTGAGGCGCCCGACAAGAACTTCGCAAAATAAGATCCTCAATGTCAAGAAGAGGGGAAATGTTTAAGGGGGAAGGAAACTAGTAGCCTTTCTCTTTACGGGATTCTTTTCTCCTCTTAGTGCATGCAACTCCCTCTTAGGAATTGTGGGATTAGTGCACATACATCAAGGGTAGAATAGTCAACATTTCATATTTTCTTATAGTCACCGCATTTGTTTTTGAAAATGTAATAAATATCATTTGCTTAAATTTTGCTCTTCTAAGCAGACATATCAGTAACCATTTGGAAAACTGAAATAATACAGCAGTGCACAAAACAGTATGAAAACAGTACAAATATCTTCATTTTGAGTTTCATCTCATGAAATTGAATTTTTATACACATATAAATATATATACACACATACACAGAGTATGTATAAATTAACGTGATGGGAAATAGCTGAAGTTAATGTAACTAATGAAGACTAGCAGGTGGCTTAGATGGGGAAAGTGAGCATAGATTTTATATCTTACGCTATTTTCTTCTGTTGAATAGCTCATAGCTTGTATATTTGACTACCAAGCCCTCCAAGAGCAATAATAAACAAAAATATATCATGTTTTCTGTCTTTGCTTTTCAACCATGCTGTCTGTCAGTTTAATAAAACTCAGTGCTATAGGAGCATCTCCACCTTTCAAACCTTTCATTTATTGCTTGGGTGTTTAGGTTAAGCACCATGTTCTTGGTTATGGACTTGCAAGCTCCCCTTCCTGGAGCTCCGCGTCGGCTCAGAAGCCGCGTGGTTTTGCAGACTGACTATGGACAAGCCCTCCTCACCCTGGCAGCTGTATCGTTGTCGCGAACAACAGTGAGGTCGCTCTCAAAGCGGGATGTGCAATTCCAAGGTAGCATCGTGGTGACCTGCATCCACCTTGCTAAGAACCTGCGGGCAGAGCTCTCAGCTTCATGGAAACTGTTAGGAAGGCAGGAAAAGATGATGCTGAAGAAGGATATGTGATATGTCCGGATAACCGGTATCCAGAGGTGCAGACTCAATAGGAATTACCACTCTCTGTTGCTCACTGTGGGCTAAATGTGCTCCTACGGTGGACTTTGTGTTACCAAGTATTTGCCTTGGGCGCAAAGCGCGTGAGCGATGATCCTTTGCTCTGCTTTCACTTACCTTGAAGGGCTCTGCACTTAACTGCTGACCAATGAATATGACTACTACCCGTGTCCTAATTGCCTGGTGTTCACAGAAAAAGTGATTGTGTGTGCCCGCTTCTTCTGTGGGATGCCTCTTGTCTCCATCTCCTCCTGTCTATGTACTTGCTCGCCTGGATTTTCTGCGTGTTGTTCAGTTGCGACCGCACTGTGGGAGCATGGAGCTTTCCAGCCCGGCCTCCCCGAAGCTGCCTCGTGTTGCCTGAGCTTCTGTCCTCCCACGCTTCAGCACTGGCTGAGGGGTCTGGTAGGTCTGAAGCGACACAGTTGGGTTTGAGTCTACTGGTAGTACATCCATGCTGCTACCGAGCACACGTGTGTTAGGGACCAAGTTCTACCCCGGCCTGCTCGCTGGTGCCACATCAGTGTCTGCTAGCAGGGTTCTCCCTGGCAGCGAGGACACCACTTGGAGGCAGTTAGTGCATGGGGTTCACTGCCACTTGGAATACCTCGCTAGCAGGTGGTCAGTGTGCATTTAATATCTGATGAGGGCACTGTTCCTGTCTGGAACCTCCCTCAGAGCTGTTTTCATTTCAAGCACTTTTTGCTTAAAGGGTAGAGTAGAAGGCTTTATTATTTATTTTTTTTAAGCTGAGTTCACACTACAGAGTAAGCAGAGTGTGAATATTACCACACTTCAATCTGAAGCAGGTTCTGGCCCCTCGGAGAAGCAGTTACTGAGCAGGTCTAAGGCCAAGGGGGGCAGATTCAGCCCAAGTGTGTTTCACTCAAGTGCTGCAGCCCAGCGCAGTGGAAAGGGGGAAAATCCACTCCTAGGTTCACTCTGAAAACAGGATGCAGCCCTGGGGCTCGCAGTGTCTCCTGGATGGCTCGGCAGCGAGGCCGCTCGGTGCCAAGTTGGGTTCACAGCAGCGGCCGGCCCGTGTCCTGGTCTGCACCGAGGCTGCAGTAACTGCCAGGAGCTTCACAGGGGAGTCCTGGGCACGTACGTGGGCAGGCAGGCTCTGCTCCCCAGTGTGAATGTGACCCTGTTTGGCCGCCCACAGGGCAACGCTGGCCGCGGTCATCTACTTGGGCTCAGACCTGGTTGGGAAGGACCTGTCTCCTTGCTACACCTGGCAGCTTTCACTCTGCTGCGCTGCTTCCTCATCTTTGTCCTGAAAAATAGTTTATCTGACTTTCCTCAGCAATCTCTCTACCACCAACCTCATGGATTTATTTTTTTTTCAACCTGCTATCATGTTGAAGGAGAAGTCAGTGTAAGGGTTCTATGCGGTGCTTGCTACCCACTAGAAAATAGCATGAAAATATCCCACCCTTTTACGAATCGGGAAGACAGTGAATTGTTATCCATAATGTAAACATCGTGTTTCTTTTATCACTAGCCTATCTAAGTTTATAGAACACTACCTTTATTTTTCTTTAAAATACTATATCTGTAGTTGCAAGCTACTCTGATTCTTAGAAACTTGGAAAAAGCAGTTTGTTCACTTGAACATTTCAGAGTACTTGGGTGAGGTTGATGGTGCATATCTGAGAAGCTTTACCAACTCCACTAGCAGATGAAGCATTAAAAAAAAACCCAACAACTTACTAAGTAGATCTAATGTGAGAAGGGAGGGAGGATGGGCAGCACAGGTTGATTAGGAATGAAATCTGGTTTTCCAAGGCATGAAATGCTTGTACAGACCTCATTTCTCATACGCATCTGTGCACCCCGATGGCCTCTACCTGCTTAGGTTACTTCGCTTCAGCTGTGTCCGAGCTGCAAGTCGGGACGCCTGAAGGGCGCCCGGCACCTTCCTCGGTCCCAACGAACACCAGCAAGTGCTGCAGCGTTAGTGGAACCACCTCCCGAGAGCACTGACCGCCCTGACCCCGCCCATCGCCACAGCCTTCAACCGTGGCGGCTGGCGGGAAGTGCAAGCGCCACGTTCTCAGTGTTAGCCAAATCTAATGAGTAATAAAACTCTCTACAGGGTATGCATTTATTGTGCATGTGTATATATTTTTGTACGTTTTTACGGTTGTTTCCTACGCTTGATTTTATGACGTTCAGAAGAAGAAAACAAAGTGTCCGTATCTGGTAAAACCTACTACTGAGAAAAAAAGAAACCACTGTCACCTACCATAGTTTCTAAACTAAAAGGAATGTGCCCCAAATGAATACACAGATTTACAGTGCTATGCAAATATTATTTTGTAAGTTGTCTCTTAAATTTTGCTTAAGTAGTCTAAGCTGTTTTTACTGGGCTTTGAGAAAATGATTAATGCAAAAGACTCGTCTTGTAAAATAAACTAGCTTTGGCTGTGTGAGAATACTGTATGTTAGAATCTCATTCATGCTTTCAGCTGCTTATTTTGACTGTTTGTAAGTGAATTTGGCACGGATTCTCTTTTTTCTTTCAATTGTGCTTAAATGAAAAAGGACTATTGCCAACATCTGGTCTGCTGCAATGTTACTTAATCAGTAGCTCATGCGAATGGGAGATCTGCGGCCTTCTTGTTTTTGCCAGTGATTGTTCGGAACTAAACACACTCTAAGGGCTATTTCCTTTTCACTTTATTTGATTTCCATTTGTGCTGCAACGTGATCGGTGCAAGGCCCCGTGGCTGCAGCGATGCTCTAGGCCGATCGTATCGCTGAGGCTGGGGCCAAGCCAGTAAACATGTCATGAAGAACTGTGGAGGGAGGGTGCACAGGAGCTGAGCGTTCATAGTAACAATATATCTTTACTGGAGAATCTTCCAAAGTAACTGCAAAGCTCTGTACGATCCGAGAAGCTGAGAGTCCAGCAGGGGAAGCTGGTTGTACAAATAGATGCTGCAGATTAAATCAGTTTTTACATCTGACCTCTTTCCTGTTTCTGCTTTTCACTGGAACATACAGGACCTCCCCAGCAACTCAGCTCTGCTCTGCACCTGCATTCCCACCTGGAAGCAAACCGGGACTTTCGTTCCCCTTCTCCTGGGTTTGGCCAAAGGGGGCCCAGCCAACCTTGGGCTCCCCAGCTTATACCCCAGCTACGTTTCTGGCCTGTTTGTGTGACGCTTCTTTAGCTGTTTGGTGTTGAGATAATGCTGCCCTCCTTGCTGGTATCTGTGCCTATGGAAAGTACCTGTGATGATGCTTTGTTCCTCCGTCATCCTTCGGCTAAGCTGCAAGGGCCGAGTTTGGGCCATGCCGGGTTCTCCCTTCGCTGCTCCCCGGCTCCCTGCGTGCTGTGCCTCGAGCCAGCACTAGCGCGGGGCCGCACAGACAGAGCAGTTTGGTGGCGGGCTGGGCTCTGTTCCCGAGATTTTTGTCAGTGCCGGATAATGCAGGATGAATCTCGTTAACAGGGTATGACCTTTCCCCCATCTGCGCAAAGGCCGGCAGGCGCGCCGCTCTGTGGGGACGGAGCACGATGTGATGGGACCCTGACTGCATCATGGTGACTTCTATGTTATGGGGGTTTTGCATGTGTCCTCTTTTTGTACTGAAGCGCAGCAGGAAGTTGGAGGGGCCCTTTCTAGCCTCCCCAGTTAAGAGGATTCTTATGTATTTCACAGCAGTTATCACTTCAATATACCCAGAGGAAACAGCTTGGATGTAGTATCCCCCACACAAGACTCCCTCGGATGCTACGCTGGGGGTGTTGTCCGTGTTCCCCACCTCCCGTCTGTTTCGTGCTGTTAGGTGGTAAGATGCTCCTCTGGGGTTGCACTTCCCGCCTCCCTCCTCTCCCTTGGCCTCCACACAGAAAGCTCGGGCTAGGCCGGCGCTATTTCCTCGCTGCTTCCAGCTTTGGAAGGAAACCCGTGGTCGGCTCCAGGCGCTGGTCTCCCACACGCGTCCTCAGAGCTCGTTTGGAGCCACCCGATGTCCCGGCCTGAGGGGGGCGGCAGCAGAGTTACCCAGTGTTTGTAGCAGCCGTTATTTCCCTCCTTTAGATCCAATCCTTTATTATGGCATCGTCTACTCTGTTCTGCAATCCAAGCACAAGGAGGAGGGGTCATTTACAGTTGGGTTTACTGATTTTTCTAAAACTTACTGAACTGGGAATAGCAAGGTAGTAACTCAGAGTATTTTTATAACATTTTTTCCCTTGTGTCTGTCTGAGCACTTCTAAAGCTAGCAAACACTATTCTTCTCCTATAATTCATCTCAAAATTAAGCGTTGCCTGGTTAAGCTCTGCCTAACTTTGACCAGGTATAACAAAGGGAGCATTGCAATATATACACAGACAACCCCCCAAATTTATATGGGACTAGGAACAGGATAAAGAGCTTTGTGTTATTTTTAATGATTTCTGCTGAGAGTAAGTACCGTTCCCATGCCAGCCCCACCTCTCCCGGCTCTGCTCTGTGAATGCCGCAGATCTGTGATCAAGTGATTCTGTGCTGAATCCTTCTGCAGTGTTAGTAATTTGTAAAGCATTACTATGCTGGTACAGGTCTGGTACAGGTATGGGGCCTTTCTTCCCTGATAAACCTTCCAAAAATACAGTTTAAAAAATGAAAGCAAAGAGCTTATTTGCAGAGATATCAGTACTTTGGAGTTAGGAAGCAACTTTCTGATAGCAAACTAATCCGCAGACCACTGTGAGGAGTAAGCAGGAGCCTTCTAAATTTCCATTCTAAATATAAGGCATTTGACTAGAAGCGATAACCTGAGTGCGTGTAACAGATGCAGAAGGCTCCATAGCGGGACTGGGCAGTGTTTGCCAACCAGCTAAACGGCATTTGCACAGCATGTGGAAACCTGCTCCACAGAGCAACTGCTTTACCTTTAAAAGCTCTTATGAAGGGATTAGATTTTTCTCTAGGCCACGTGCAGTTTTGCACAAGGATTACAAGTGCATTTCAAGGGTCATTTTCTGCGTGGGCACCTAGCGATAAGCCACAGTTTGTGCTTGATCTGCTCTTGTACATACATCATGACAATTTTGTAAGAAACTCAGAAATTTTGGTGCATCAACTGACATATTTTTCACAATATTGCAGCAGCTACCGCACATATGCTGTGTCTGGATCCAGCTTGGGCTGCTCGGTCTTGTTTCACTTGCTGTTCTGGTGCCTCCAGCCACGCTGCTCCTTGCAGCTCCCCTTCATCCCGGAGGAAGAACCGCAGTGGGAATGAGCCTGGAGAACGTGCCTCCCTCTTGGCCCTACCCTGGAATCTGGGGCAGAAATCCTACTGGGCAGCAGTAAAAGAAGGGCGGTAAAAGGCTCCCTTGACTCTGATGCCTTCGCTGTTTTCCTTCGTTCACCGTGGCTTGTGGTCTGAACTGCCTTTCTTTTTCATCTGGCTGCTGTGGGGCAGCATTTGCAAAAGCTCCCTTTAGCAGTGGCCCAGGTGCCCCGTGACATCTCCCGTATTTACTTGTCCTGTGAAATAATCCAGAGCAGCCCTGTGATTGCTCCGGTTGTGAGGAAAACAGGTAGGAGAGAGAAACGAGACAGCCTGAGAACACTCAGGCACAGGCCTCCCCCCGTGCCGGCTGCAGCGCAGCACAAGCTCCGCAGGTATTTTCAGGAAAACGCTATTTCTTTTCTTGTTCCCATCAGCGCAAAGCTGTTCAAAGGCAGAGAAGTGCTGCACACTGCTATTCCTAACCTCTTAATTTGTCTCTGGCCCAATTACACAGCAGACATGAGAATTTTGAGGTGCATCATTCAATTGTAGACTTCCTCAGTGAGCTGGTCAGGTTGCTGACTGCGCCACAGTGAGAGCAGCCCGTCCTGCTGGGTCTTCTCTCTGCTTAAAGCGAAAAATTTAAGTGAAATTCACTTATGCTTGCAACTGTTTACAAACCTGAGGTGGTGCTAGGCCACAACCTGCAGTTTCTAGCATGTTTCCCACACTTTTGTGAACCAAATGCCGAATTATCCATGAATAGGCTTCCCTGCGGAAGGGTATTCCAAGCTACGTGTCCTCTTGTTTATTGCTTAACAGCACTGCAAAATCAGGCAAGACTCTCCACAGAGCAAATGTAACAAGAAATGTTCTGTTCGATTCCTGAGGAAGCCTGTCAAATTTCAGAGTGCTGAGTAATGACAGTAATAATGAAAATTAATGAAAAAAAAAATCATGGCTGTGCTGTGAAAAGCTCAAAATCTGACTTTCAACCTGATATCACCAAACAAGGAGAAAAGAGGAGGGACTGTGAAAAGGGTGGTACTGTGGGAAATGCAGATACTCAGCTTTCAACATGCAACATGATTAATTCTTCAAAATTAGTAAACCCCTTGATCCTGCTTAATAAGGCTTGATCCTGCTGCTTTCCTGTTCCTTATAAGACTGTTGTTCCCCAAAACACCTTTGTGTCCTCATGTTTCACCTGGAGAAAAACCTACTGGAAGCAGTGTTTTGTTTTGAAAAGGGAAACGTAATTTCGCAATATTTTTAGTTAAGTCAGGTACCTATAGGAGCCATT